AAAAGACAGGATAAAGGAAAAAATGTCATCTGATACATTCGAAACCTCATGCTCAAGAGAAGGAACAGAGGATTCTGAAAGAGAATGGAGAGCAGCAAAATGGCTTGGCTTCTTTCTCATTTACTCCCCTGAAGCCCCACTGGTGGTCAAAAAATCCAAAGTAATTTTATTAAAACTCTTGCTTGTGGAATGTGAAGATATGACGTGTGATGTTGGGAAAGTATGAATGAAAGTGTGGATGAATAAAGAAAAAAAATCAAGAGGGCCAACTTTCTCTGCTGAAAGAGAAGAATCCAAAATTCACCCTTGTTTGGGGAAAGGGTTCAAAGCCTGGGAATATCTCCTTGTGGAAATGCATTATATCCTCTCTCCTGTACTCCATTAGTTGGAGTGAACTCAGATACAGGACAGTCTATGTCATCTCAGAAGACAGAAAGAACCGAAAAACTTAACGCAGTCCCCACACCACACCTGAGCTTCCCTGCTCTTCTGCACAACCCTCCATGCCAGCTGCTGTTCAGACTACAAAAAATGTGGATAAAAAACAAAATACCTGGGAGAAAACACGGTTCACAAAAACTTGTGCGTGAGTGTTTATAAATGAAAGCATTATTTATGATGGCCCCAAAGTGGAAACAACTCAATGTTCATCAATTGATAAATGAATTAATAGAGTGTGACATAAGCACACAAGGAAATATATTAGTTTGGCAAAAATAATGAAGTACTAATACTTGCTACAACATGGATGAGTATTGAAAACATTATGCTAGGTGAAAGAAGCCAAACACAAAAGACCACTTATTGTATGTTTTCATTTATATGAAATGTCCAGAATAGTTAAATCCATAGCGATAGAAAGTAGGTTAGTGGTTGCCTAGGGTGGGCGGCAGTTGAGGAGAAATGGAGACTGACCACTAATGGATCTGGGCTTGCTTTTTGGAATGACAAAAATGTTCTTCACACAGTGAAAATATAAAATCAACCCAAGTGTTCATCAACAGATGATTGGATAAAGAAAATGTGGTATATATACACAATGATATATTATTCGCCATAAAGATGAGTGAAATCGTGTCATTTGCAGCAACATCAATGGAACATTGGTCATTAAGTGAAAGAAGCCAGTGTCAGAAAGACAAATACCACATGTTCTCACTCATATGTGGGAGATAAAAAAGTGGGTCTAATAAAAGTAGAGTAGATTGGTGGTTACCAGAGGCTGGGGAAGGGCAGCAGGGAGGGGGAATGAAGAGAAGTTGATTAATGGGTACAAATATATGGTTTGCTAGAATAAAGAAGACCTAGTGTTAGACAGATCAGTAGAGTGAATCCAGTTTACAATAGTCTATTGTACACTTTGAAATAGAGGAGAAGAATTTGAATGGTTCTATCATGAGGAAAAGACAAGTATTTAAGATGATGGCTATCCCAAATACACTTATTTAATCTTTGCAAATTGTGTGTATGTATTAAATTACCACATATACCCTGGAGTTATATACATTTATTATGCATAGATAAAAAAAGTTCTAAGATTTACTGTGGGAATGGTTACACAACTCTATAAATACACTAAAAATGGTGAAATGATGCACTTTGAGTGGGTTAATTTTATGGTATGTGTATTTATGTCTCAATAAAGCCATGGGGGAGGGGAGAAGCATGGTCTTGGAGATGGTAGGGTGGAGAGAAACAGCCAAAAATTTATCGCAATATAGAAGAACCAATAACATATCTAGGCAGAGTCACTAACATGAAAAGGTGCAAGAAAATACAAGATATATATAGCAAGTATGGAGATTCTAAGGCAAAAAGGGAAAATACCATGTAGTGGAAGAAAAAACAACCCAATCTGGGAGAAATCATAATTCAGTTAATTCCTCACTATTTGTTCATGTATGAAGAACTTAATGAGAATATTGATTAAATAAGAGAGAAAAAAGACAATTATAAAAAAAGAATGAGATCACAAGGGATATTGCAGGTCTAAGGTAACAAATCAAGGTTCAAAGCAATATCTTTATGGAACTAATTAAATATTTTTTAAACAGTAAGAAACAAAATAGATATCACTGAAAGCTGAATTTCAAGACTATCTTCTCTCCCTAATCTGAAATTCAAAAAAACATAAAGCAATTTTGAAAACTGAAAGGGTCTTTTTTTTTGGTAACCCCGCTTGGCAGCATAATCTCAATGTGTCCTGAACAGATGTGAGGCTATTTACAATTTTTCTTTATCCAACTTAACTTGAGTATCTATATTTATAATTTTATTCAAAAATTAAAACATTAATGCTTTTAAATACTGGGTGCTACCCAGTATTCTGTATATTGTATGAGAGTATCATACAATATAGGGGATAGACATTTGTTATTTTCTAAAATATGAAATCATTTAGAATTACAAAACACATCTGGCTTCAGAGGTTTCAGAAAAAGATGGTGGGCCAGTAATAAAATAGAGGAAATGATATGTAAATAAAAGTGACAAAGAGATTAAATTAATTTAGAAACACTAAAAGAATGGAAAAAAGAAAAAAAAATGAACCCATATAAGGATAATTGATGTTTCTGAAATGAGACAAACAAAAGGAAGAGAAGTGTATTTAAAGACATAATACAAAAAAAAATTCTGAAGTAAAGAAAAAAGTGTTCAGAAAACACTCTGCAATACAGGAAAAATTCATGTAAAATATCAATACCGAATTGCGACAAACCTCAATTATAAAATTATTTAGGCATCCAGGCACAAAAAGTAACTTACTTATAAAGGGGGGAGGATGAAGTTGGCCTCTTACTTCACCACAGCAATGTTCAATGACAGAAATGCTAGAGTCCTATCTTCAAACTTCTAAAGGGAAGAAAACATGGTCAGAGAACACTAAATTCAGCCAAATATCAGTATGAATTAAATCAGGAAATATAACAGGCATTAGCCCTTCTTAGAACATATCGCCTGACAGTCAGACAAACTAGTAGCTTAGGCTCAATACAAACTCAAGAATAGAGAAGTTGTGTTAAAAGAATAGTGGTGGGCATTGAATCCATGTGAGGTTACCCCTCTTACTTTACTTTCACAGCTTAATGGGCCAGGCGCGGTGGCTCACGCCTGTAATCCCATCATTTTGAAAGGCCAAGGCGGGCAGATCACCTGAGGTCGGGAGTTCGAGACCAGCCTGACCAATTTGAAGAAACCCTGTCTCTACTAAAAGTACAAAATTAGCTGGGAGTGGTGGTGGCTGCCTGTAATCTCAGTTACTTGGGAGGCTGAGGCAGGAGAATCACTTGAACCATGGAGGCAGAGGTTTCAGTGAGCCGAGATCATGCCATTGCACTCCAGCCTGGGCAACAAGAGCAAAACTCCGTCTCAGAAAAAAAAAAAATGCTTAACAAAGACTGCATTTAATCAACATTGCTTTAAACCTCCAGAACAATCCATCGATCTTGGAACGCCTTAATTCCGGTGTCATCTCCCCATCTTTCATATTGTTGTTGTCTGTATCCTTTGCTTTGTTTTTTAAAAAAACATTCCCTCCGAAATACTCATTTATTTTCTTTTACAGTCCGCGCTTGAAGATTTTGACACAACGTTTTTAAATTTCTTTGCTCCTCATTGCATATTGCATTCCATTAATTGACTTTCTTCCTTTCTTAAATATATCCTTTTGTAGTTATTTTGATGAGGTAGTTACATTTCTGCTTTCTTTTGTATGGAGGTATCTGTATTTTGCCTTCACCTTTGAATAATAATTTCATTGAGGACAAAATTCTCAATGGATAGTTACGGCCCTTCAGCACTTTGAAGACATTACTTCATTATCCTATGGTTTCTGTGGATGCTTTTGAGAAGGCGGCTGCCAGATATACTTCTGCTTATTTGCAGGTAATTTACCTTTTCCTCTCTGGTTTCTTTAAGGCCTTTTATTTCACAATGATGCTTCTGGATTTGAAATTTACCTTCCTCCTCCTCCCCCCACCAGCTTCCTTTCTATTCTCTTTGCTTTCTCGTCTTTCTCTCTTCTTTTTTTCTTTTCCACCTTTTGTGGCATCTTTCTTTCTCATGTGTTTCTCTAGATAAACTTTAGGATATTTACCCTTCCAAGAAATCTAAAGAAAATTTAAAATTTGATTGGAATTTCACTTGACCATTAATTAATTTAGAATAAATTCCTATCTTTAGTATGTTTAATATTTCTATTTATAAATGTGCTATTTTCTATCCATTTAAAAATTTCTGCCTATAAATTGCATGTTCATTGGCTCGAGCCTGTAATCCCAGCACTTTGGGAGGCCGAGGCGGGTGGATCACGAGGTCAAGAGATCGAGACCATTCTGGTCAACATGGTAAAACCCCGTCTCTACTAAAAATACAAAAAATTAGCTGGGCACGGTAACGCATGCCTGTAATCCCAGCAACTCAGGAGGCTGAGGCAGGAGAATTGCCTGAACCCAGGAGGCGGAGGTTGCGGTGCCGAGATTGCGCCATTGCACTCCAGCCTGGGTGAAAAGAGCGAAACTCCGTCTCAAAAAAAAAATTAAAAAAAAATAAAAAATAAAAAAATTGCATGTTCATCTAGTAAGTCATGTTGTATAATTCTTGTTAAATGAACTTGTAAGTTTGCCGGATTTTTGTTTCTGTTTTGAAGAGACTCTTCCATTTTTTAAAATCTGACCAAATTTTCTATTTGGTCATTGCTGCATTAAAGCAATCTATTGACTTTTGTATTTTTTGTGTCGGATAAGTTTGATTCTACATAGTATGCAGGGAAGTAGCATAAAGGTCAAAACACAAAAGGGGGTGTAAACAGCATCCCCAGAGATTAAAAAAAGGGGCAAAATCTGTGTTTAAGGGCAGGTGTATTCTAATTTACTAGACAAAATTAGATGACCAGAAAGTACATTTTATTTCCAAGTAGACAGAGAAAGAAAAGTAATAATGAAACATGGCCAAGAGAAAATTTTTAACATATTTAATATTCTTGCTAAAGATTAGACTATAGAAATTTCTGGTTGCAAAGGCTGAATTAAACTTCAATGGGGAAATAATTACATGGAAAGACTCATTCTATTAAAATTAGCAGAGTTTGAATTATATGCATCAAGCAATACCTCAAGTTACTGAGAAATTCCAATGCAGAGTTAGTAGAAATAATTTTTTTGACATGAATGAAAAATTCCTAACTTATAAAATCAATATTAATATCAGAAAAATCATCAAGTCAACATAAAAGTCTGAGGATAAAGTAAAAGAAGTGATCAATTTATAACTCAGAAATACTTAGAAGAGCTTAAGAGGCTGCCTTTGTCAAAACACATCATGTCAGATCAATTTAATTCTCTTTTATGGCAGAATGACAGTCCACAAAGATAAGAAGCATTTGAATAACATAATATATTTTAATTTCAGCAAATGTTTTTGTTCTGTTGTATATGACAGGTTATTTATGAGCTAAGGAAGTGTGGTACGATCTACTGTTCTCAATGGTTAGTTGTCATTCACCAGTTCCCAACTGGGAGCTCATATCAACAGGCCATCACAGGAATTCTTGGTGGAGTCTGTAGAGTCAGTAACTTGACTGAAAACCTAAACAAAAGATTTGAGATATCATCAATGAAATATGTAGATATTACAAGCTACATACCAGTGTTAGTGTCGGGCTAAATTTCAAAACAATCTTGAAATATTAGAAACATTCTAAAGAATTAATCAATATTAGTAGAAGAATTTTAAGATGTGAGGAATACTTTGTGAACATATTGGGAGTAAAATAGCTGCATAGTATAGAAAGATGACCAAATACATTTGGTCTGTTGTCTTTTATTTCACAATGATGCTTCTGGATTTGAAATTTTCTTTCCTCCCCACTCCCACACCTGCCTTGCTTCCTTTCTTTTCCTTTCTGTTCTTTTTGTTTTTTCTTCTTTCTCTCTTCTTTTCTTTTCCATATTTTTGGCATCTCTCTTTCTCATATATTCTTCTGGATAAACACAGACCGAAATGTGGTAGAATAAAAAGTATTTGTTAAAAGAGATTGCGAAAGAAATATGAAAGGAAGAAGGAAAGGAAGGAAGTCAGGAAGAAAGAAAGAAAGAAAAAGAAAGAAGTAAAGAAAACAGAATTTATTTGTAAGTGTATGGCATATAAGGTCTAAGAAAGTCCCTCTTCTACTCAATACTAGTTATTCTTCTCAATGCATTTTAAAGTGATATGAAGAAATGGAAGTGAATATGAAAAAGAGCAACAAGAATGATGTTGATGATGAAAAGAATGATGAATATATATCCTAGGACAAAAGGTTAAGAATTTAGTATTGTTTGGACCAGAAAATGGATAGGAAAGAGATGATTTCATTATCATTTTCAAGTATCTAAAGGATTTTTGTGAAAGTATCTAAAGAAATCTCCATTGGTGATTTCTCCAGTCTAAAAAGGAGGCGCAAAAGCACGAAGGATCTTAAGTTTAAAGCAGAAAAGATCAGGTTTGGATATAAGGCAGGTGTCTCTGTCATCAGGGAAATGAAAATTTGAAATAGTTTCTAAAGGAGACCAAGCAGCACCATGAGTCTCCATGTTGGATGTGACGTTGGGCATGAAAACAAGTTTGGGAAAGAGCCTATGCCGGGGTCAGCAAGCCACCGCCCACAGGCCAAATCCAGCCCACCAACTGATAGCGGATGGTCCATGTGTGAAAAGGGACTTTTACAATTTTAAAAAACTTCATGATATAAGAAAATGATATGAAATTTGACTTCAGTGTCCATCAGTAAAATTTTATTGGAACACAGCTGTGCCCATTGATTGACATCATTGTTTGTCGCAATGTTGGCACATTACAATGGCAGAGTTCAGTAGTTGAGAGTGGGACCATACAGTCCGCAGAGCCTAAAATGGGAAGCCTAAATTGGCCTCTTATAGGAAGGGTTTCCTAATCCCTGACCTATATGATTGCAGCCACTTACACAATGCCTGGACTTGACCTCCAAAGTCTAGAAGCTCTCCTTGTTGTAATAGAAATGAACACCCCTGGGGTCGGCTGATGAATAGAAGCGGCACATCCTTTGAAGTGTCTTTGAGAGAGCTTTAGGTCCACAGAAGAACACGCCAATGCTGCTGCTGCAGTGGGGGTAAGAAAAGGAAAGAAAATGTCACCTGGAGGCAAGGCCAGCCGGAAGTCAAGACGATGATTATTGAAATGGTTGTGGCTGTGAGGTCACTTATTTATTTTTCTCGCTCCATGTCCTGTTTTCTTAGGTTCTTTTTTTCTACATGCTTTCAGCACCGTGCTCTCTCCCAGGTTCCTAGCATCCTCCCCAGAATTACCCAGGGAGGTGGAGCCAAGAGGACTGAGGCAGGAAAGGGGCCATGAGACTGTTAAGGGGTTTTGAGACAGAGGTGGTGTCACCTGGATTTTTGGCCAGGTGACCTTAATTCATGTCTTCTTGGATACATGACCAGATGTAAACTTCCTGAGAACATAAACCTGATCTGTTTTATTCCAGCACCTGGAACAGTGCCCGGCATACCATGGACAATCAACACGCGTTTGCTGACTGGATGACTAAATGGCTGTGCCGAGTATTCTCCGCATGGTCTTGGGAAAGTCCCTAGACCTCAGTTTCTGCATGTGTAAGAGATGATAAGGACTGTGTTGTATGTTTTATCAAAAGGAAGGTAAGAAAATACATTCAAAAGGGTTTTAAAAGGTTAGTTATTACTAATATCCTGTTCAGCCTTGCCTTTTTGTAGATAATAAAATTTATGCTAAGGTAATAGCAATTTAATTAATTTCTCCTGTTGGAATTGCTTTAATTTTTGAAGAAGGCCAGAAGGGAGAGCTGAAAAAGAAAAGGACATAGCTGAAAATATAGTCACCTAAATGTTGTTATCTCTAACGCTGACATTTCAGAAAACTGTCGAGATACTTTTTACATATAGTGACTATCCCAGAGCTACCCAAATCCCTTGTGACTTAGTTTACATATAAACACCACATCCATGCAGGGGTTCAAAGTTGCTTCTGGAAGCTGGGGTGCATCCATCATAGAGATTTGCAGAGATGGTGTCTTTTTTCCCTTGTCTTGAATGTTACTATTCTTTGTAGCATAAGCTGAATTAGTTACTCCAGTGTGGATCAAAAGTTCTCAAACTTTACTGTGCATAAAATCATCTAGGCAGATTGTTAAAATGTAGATTCTTAGGCTCGAATCCAAGGAATGCATGTTTAGTAAGGATCCTGGGTAATGTTTTAGCAGATCGTTCTGTGAGCCACACTTTGAGAAACATTGTCATCAAGAAATTCTTTTTAATGATTGTCACTCTGACTGGTGTGAGATGGTATCTCAATGTGGTTTTGATTAGCATTTTTCTAATGTTCAGTGATGGTGAGCTTTTTTTCATATATTTGTTGGCTGCATAAATGTCTTCTTTTGAAAAGTGTCTGTTCATATCCTTTGCCCACTTCTTGATGTGGGGTTGTTTTTTTCTTGGAACACATGGACACAGGGAGGGGAACATCACACAGGGTGGGGGAGCTACAGGAGAGATAGCAGGAGCTGGGGAGATTGGGGAGGGATAGCATTAGGAGAAATACTTAATGTAGATGATGGGATGATGGATACAGCAAACCACCATGGCACATGTGTGCCTGTGTAACAAACCTGTGTGTTCTGCACATGTACCCCTGAACTTAAAGTACAATAAATAAATAAAATTAAAAGAAAGAAATTCTATGGGCTTCAGGATCAGCTCACTATATCACCTCTGTTTCTTCAGACCTGGATCTTGCTGGGAAGTGCCTACATAGCCTAGTTCTCCTTAGCTCATATGTTAACATGGTTCTCTCCCATGTCTCATAGCCACATTTTAATTGTGTGTTCCAGGACCATCACATTCACCGTAGAAACTGATGGTTCCATCGCATTTCAAACTCCAGCTTCAAAGAAACTTACCAATGGCTTCATTTACAAATGACAATGTGTTTAAAATGTAGCAGTATGACTTTCAAAGAAATCATTGCCACGGCTAAATTTGAGAAAGTAATTTTTCAGAAAATATTTTCTACTGAACAGTATGAGTTTATGGCTTAATGAAGCAATTTCCAGGTGTTTATGGAAATAAAAGGCAATGGTTAAGAATGCTCTTGGCTTCATCACTTCGTTGCTGGGTAACTTAGGCCATGTTAATTACCTTCACAAAGCCCCCGGTTTCTCATCTATAAAATGGGGAGAATTATAGAATCTAGCTCCTGGGATCTCTGTGAGGATAAGCAGGACACTGCAGGTCTGGCCGTTGGTCCTATGCTTGGCACATGGTGCACTCTCAGGAACCGCGAGCTTCCTAGTGTTATTTTCCCATTTGATGGCTATTGGTGTCTGCCTGCTTCATGAAACAGAATGGAAGATGTGGTGCAGGGTGTTAGCCCAGAGGTGATTATACAGACTTACTGAGATCAGCACTAGATTTTTGAGCTCTGGACTGAAACATTTTGAATGGTAGATGGGTCAGGTGAGACCCTTCCCAGTGAGGAGTCACAGCTTTGCTTTGTGTCTGATCCCCAGAGGTATCCTTGCATCTATTTTCAAAGATGCTGTTATGGGTGGTGATATTTCTCCATTGGTGTAGATGTCACCAAAGAGATTGCCCACTGGCCCATTCCAGCAGGCGAAGACTGCCCTTTTATTTGCAGCCACAGTAACTGTTTGCAGACCTGATGATGCCCTTTGATGCTCTGCCTTTAAGACTCCATTTCAAAGGATTCTGATTGCTGCTGCCAGGTGTTCTACTGGTGTCCCCAGCAGTTCACATCTCCCCTGCCTCTTTTGAAGTTGTGGCTATCACACTGCACAGCTAAGTCCACACTTTACTCAGAGGCCATAGCTGCCCTGGTTATGCAATCACCAAAAAGTCTCACAAAGGCCATTTATTATCTACCTTCTGCGACGGGGGAAAGGTCAGCCCTTCACTGGCTCTCTCTGCACCACTGTCCCCACATACAGCATTTTCTGCTTGCCTGGCTTACTCTTCTCAGCATTTAGGACTCCAAGTATGGAGAATTTCTTGTCACAAATGCACACTGTGAATCCCAGGGCAGAGAATCCACATAAAGTGGTTAAGGCACAGATGTGGCAGCTTTTTTTTTTTTTTTTTTTTTTTTATTTTTTTGAGGCAACGGACAAGTGCAATAGAACACTAATGGGGTTGGTAAAGAAAAAATTCTATAAAATTTAATTACCCACAATTGCTTGGAATTAAAAAGAGAGTCTCTGCAAAAGAAGTATAAAAATGCAAGGTGCTATTCTTCGGTTTACAGCCTGCCAGCCGCAGAGCCTGCACACGCACGGGGAGCTGGATCGGGGACAACGTTCATGGCATTGATCCGTCTGGGCTGCTGACTTTGATGAGAAAAGGACAAATTTTACACAAGCCACAAAGATGGCTAACATTCACAGCATTATTTTTAGCTCTGATAAACAATAAAGAAAATCCTCCTTTCCCTCTCTCCGTCTGCTAAATAACTATTGTGCTCTTCTCTGTGGGGTTGGTGCATTTTTCAAAAACAGTTCAGCAGTGCCATGCATGAAAGGCATCCAAAATATCACCCACCAGGAGATTTCAGCCCAGCAGATATATGGGCATGTGGGTGCGCCCGGGAGTAATCCCACCACCTCGCTGAATTCCCAGGTTCTGCTACCGTGAGCCATTCTCTCTTTAAATTGTATGTTTGTTTTTATGTGTTGGCTTTTATGCTTGGTAAGTTATAACCCTGTAGGGGCAGACCCTAAACCCCATTTTAAAAAAATCAAATTACTTTATACCCTGAGTGCATTCTGCAAATAAAATCGATAAACAGAAGCTTCCTGTGGATTTATGGAGGCTTAGAAAGAAGATGAGAGCTGCAAACTCTGTATCAGACAATGGACACAACTTCTGGTTAATCCTTTCTAGTGAGTGTTTTCATTAGAAATGCCTCCAAATGATTCATCACATAATTACATTGTGTACAACACCTTCTTTTTTCAGAACCGCAGATGATAATTGTGCTGGCCAGCTTTTTTTTTTTTTTTTAACCTATCTCCCAGTTAATTTGTAGCAGCCTATGACATTACTTTTCTCTGTATCCTAATTACTCAGTTGCTCATGAGTTGCTGCAGATGTCCCTAACCAGGCTCACTGTTGTGATTCTGCTCCTGCCCATGCTTCACAGGCTCTGTTTTCTTTGGCAGCCAGAGCTGTGCTGTTTGGACTCTTGTCCCAGCTCCCTCATTGGTCTCATGGTTCGGTCACTTGCACATACTGGCCATTGTGCCAGGCTCTGAGGTGCATAGATAAAGTTGCTTATAGCTATTAGCCCTTGAGAAGCTTATAGTTAGTCAAATAGGAAGAAAAATGAAAGCAGCTGACTTGTAGCATTGGATCCCAGGGAATGGTAGAGGCATCTTAGCCAATCCTTCCCCTCCCCAGTAAAACACTAACATATACACAAACACTAACACCTTCATGCACAAGTAATTAAATATTTTGCCAAAGCTAATAATTTGATAGATAGATAACACCATCGAAGAAACTTTGCAGCATAATGATAAATCCACCCTGGACTCACCCACCTCTCCAGTCCCCTCTACCATAAATGGAGTAATTTCAGTGATTTTTCACTGAATCTTCACTCGGGTATAACCAGAGAGATTGATGCCCTCTGGTGGGAAGGAACTATGGGAATATGCTGACAATCTCCTTATCATAAGTTTATGGTGTCTTTTTTTCCCCCATGAAGCTATAGTTTATCATGTGTTATATTTCCATTTAAGTCTATTTCTTTGAGTATTCTGAACATTTTAGTCATATAATGAATGTTTAGGATATCCTGTTAGATAAAGGGCCCTGAATGCTATAATCAGAATGTTAATTTCTTAAAAATATCACTTTAAAACACTTTGCACATATGCATGTACAAATGAGAATCGAAGGGTGCGTACACAAGCAAATGTGGGTCCAGATGGACACATTTACTCAATTTAGTATAAAGGTATTTTCATGTTTCTGAAAACAATGGGTGGTCTAAAATACATTCATGCAATATGGATTAGAAGCCCCCAATCATATGGTAGTACTCTTTT